TTGCATATGATGTTTTATACCATTTCACCAATAGGCCAAGGCCAGCACATAACTTATCAAGCCAGAAGAACTTTAAAACAAAAATGATTAAAATTGTACTTACTAGCTATAGTGAGTTGTAAAAAGAGTATGAGGCCATGCTGTACAGCATGATTCACTGCCAGGATCCCTCTTACGCGGGCATATCACTAACACAGCAGTCGGAGAAAGTCAAAATGAACACACACCACCTATGAGAACACCCTTGAATTATCTTCTTAAACACTGATACTTTCCATATATTACAATCATTTGAATAAACTTTTTCAGTCAAATCATAATTCTGTGGAGTAGAAAGTCCTTTTATCAGTTTGTCGATATTTTTATGATCTACTCTTTAGAAAGTGATGTTAAAGCCTATTGACTATTAAATCACTACTCTGTTTACAGATACATTGTCAATGTAGAAAAAGGAAAAACCTGGAGTCACAGAAAATGCTTGGCATCTACACAAACACATTGTCAGTGGGCTAACCACTACTGCCTGCTTGGTCACTACAGGCCTTCTTGCTCCACACTTTTGCCTCATGCAGTGGGTTCCACGATATCCATGTTGGTTCCAAACAGGGCCACCAACTGTTCTTCATAGGTGGCAATGTTCCTCTTCATAATTTCCATGCAAGGTCCCAAAAGCCTTTCAAATGCCTGCACATCCATGGCTGAGCAAAGAGGAGAATAAAGACAAATCAATCACCGTCTCTGTAAATCTGCAGAATTTCTAAGTCGTCTGTGATACCCATTCTGCATATATGTCCACAACGCAACGGTGTTTTTAGATCAATATTATAACACACAAGAGAAAGGCATAAAAGGGAAAATGTTCCACTTCACAAAGGAAGCAGCCGGGCGCCCTCGGCAACACGATGTGCACCACGAGGCTGGCGGGAGGTTCCCCATCCGCGCTGGGAAGAGAAGGAGCGACTGTCATGGCAAGGCCTTGGAGTTTAAAAAATTACATCGGTTTTGATGTCACCACCTTAGTAACAGAAACTCCTTAAGGCAAGACAGTGTTTTCTACCCTGTTTTCCCTCGTCGGGGTTTACAAGGCCATGTTGTGAAGACCCAGTGGGACCTGTTACATTTTTATTCTTTCATACTATTGTCTAGTCAACTCAAAATGGCAACCCAGATTGTGCTCTGTCCATTTCCATGAGTTTGTGCCATATGTCACTTTGCTTGCCTGTCTCATGCATTTTTTAAAGTAAATTTATAATATACACATGGAAGATATGTTCACACTCTCTACCAAAGAAATACATATTAAAATACCGGGGGTTTTGGCTTTCAAATTCACAAAGGTAAAAAGGCAATGTTTACAAGAATTGAGTGCGTGGACATTCTTGCACTGCTGGTAGCATGCAAACTGGTACAAATAAAAGTGATCTGCCAATATATACCAAAAGCCAGAAAGAGAAAACCAGCTTCTGAGACCATTTCTAAGGAAAAATCCTATATATGGAAAAGCAGTCTAGACCCACACACACCAGGAAGCTGCTCACCCCCAAAATGAAGCCAGAACCTTCAAAATATTTACCAGTGGGAATGATTAATCATGTATAATGTGCATAGATAACTAATAGAATATTACAATTTGATGTAGTAAAATGAATGAAAATGCCTCTGCTATAATGAATGGAAAAAGCAGTTTACAAAATTAAAAACAGGAAACTCATGCAAATAAAAAAAGACAAGAAGACATTACACTAGGATGTGGAAGTCACTGGCTGGTGGTGGTACAGGTGACTCCTGGTTTTTCCTGCCTTTTCTGTATTTCTCAAATTTCCTTTAATGTGAATAGAATAATTTATTCTAGCAAGAAATTAACAGGACTTCCCTCATACCACCTTTACTCTTACTGTCTAATATCTCCACTCAGGGAAATTACCTGTCAGTTTCTAATTGTGTTCTCTTTCATCCAAGCATAACACTTGATTAATATTATACTTACTTAAAACCTTTTAAAAAGTGACTTCTGTAAGAAGTTAATTCTGAGGATACTTGCAAATCTTAAGAACACTGAAGCTAAGTTTATTCTACTGAACTGTGGATGAGGAGCACAGAGTGGCTAATTACTGTTGAATCAATTTTTTTTTTTTTTTGGAAGATTAGCCCTGAGCTAACATCTGCCACCAATCCTCCTCTTTTTTGCTGAGGAAGATTGGCCCTGAGCTAACCTCTGTGCCCATCTTCCTCTACTTTATATGTGGGATGCCTGCCACAGCATGGCTTGATGAACATGCATAGGTCCGTGCCTGGGATCCAAACTGGCTAACTCCAGGCCGCTGAAGCAGAGTGTGCAAACTTAAGCACTGTGCCAGCCCCTCAATTTTCTTTCTTTCTTTTTTTTTTTGGTGAGGAAGATTGCAGCTGAGCTAACATCTATGCCAATCTTCCTCTGTTTTGTATGTGGGATGCCACCACAGCATGGCTTGATGAGTGGTCCTAGGTCCGCGCCCTGGATCCAAACTGGCAAACCCCAGGCCGCCAAAGTGGAGCACACAAACCCAACCACCACACCACAAGGCTAGCCCCTTGAATCAATTTTCTTAAAGAAAATGTCATCAATATTCACACCTCCTGAATTACGTTTCTCATTATTAAGGAAGCTATTTCTCGTATATAAAGTCTCATATATAGAGAGAGGTCTTCCAGCCGAAGATGGCATTTCTGTCAGGCTGCTATGTAGTATAAGAAAGTAATAAACAGTGGAACCACAAAGAAAATTTCCCTGTGCTCTGACAGACCTGAACCTTTGCTTCCGAGGACCAGGAGGAGTGAGTACTCCCACAGACATTCCGACTCTCCCTGCACAGCTTAGCGTACTTTATAAAAATGTCGTCTGAGCCTTCTTTTTTGAGGAACACAGTGCATGTTGTTTTGAAAGATTAGATATAAACCTGGTACTTGGAATTCTCATTTTAACTCCTAAAATAAGATGCTATTTCATGCCTATAAAAAAAAAAGAACACGATATGTATGTACGTAAAGATTGTTAAAGAAAAAAAATGGCTTCCGCAAATTGATTTTATAATGCCATGAATCCTAACCTTGTTATATGTTGTGGGGACCATAAGACGTGTGAACCCAATAAAATAACGCGTACAACGTGAATATATGAAGTGCAGACGTAATTTCAACCAGGAGCAGCACGCCCACCGCTATGAGTCCTACCTAAACATTTGACGGTCCCAATGGCGTGAGCGGAAGCGGCTCGAGGTTTGTTAGTCACCAGGGCCAGCTCTCCGAAGTACTGTCCCCGGGAACACCGAGCGATTTCGACTGCGCCATTCTCTTCTGCTTCTGATTTACCCTGGCAAGGTAGATAAAAGCATTAACTCTTACCCAGCGTATGAAAAATGAAAGTTAACCTTAGTCTAAACTTCAAAAGGAAAATCTGTTATGTTCCTTTCTAATTTTATGTGGACTTTTAGACTTAACGAACGCTTACCTTCCTTTTCATAGTGATTTTCACTTCTCCAGATTCTACGATGAAAAAAGAATCAGCCAAATCTCCCTGTGAGAATAAAACAAAAACAGAGGGTGAAAATGCAGATGCAGCTGACGGCACTCCTGTTCCCCATCAAACCCCTGAAATCAATCTGACCCCAGTGTTCACACGATTTGCCTGAAAAGTGAGGCCTCGAGGAACAAACTACCTTTCTAAAATGAGAGGTTACGATCGACAATTATATAGTAACGATTTCACTTGTAAAATTATTTGAAATAAAATACTCTCTACTATAGCATCTCTGCTAAAACTAGCCAAGAAAATATGGCAAGTAACATGGGGGTGAGAATTTGACCCCAACTTCAGCCTGGATAGCGGCACCATTTCCCAGCAGCGTCTCCGCAGTCAGCAGGCACACGTCTGCCGATCCTGTCCACCCTGTGTCATCCTAATACATTGGCCTGGGGACGTGAGGGAGCCTATTGACTCCCAAAGAGCAGAAAGCACCCAGAGTTACTGGGAAACGGGAGATGTGGGCCTGAGGCTTTCACTGCCCTTAGCTAGGGACCCAACTCCAAGATGCCAGTTTCCTGACACTCCACCGCAAGGCCCTGAACGACTTCCCAAAGAAAAGTGCTGCCATTCTAACTACAGACCCGTTTTTTTTTCTTGGCTTTGTTTTTGAATGAACGCTGTCTTCATTTCCAACGATGCCTTCTGAATTAAAGAGTATAATACGAAAGAAAACAAATACTGGCTTTTCTGAGCCTCTCAAAGTGGTTCTGGAGAAACCTAGGTATTTCACAACTCTTTAGGACAACTCAAGAAATACAGTATCAGATTACATGACAAAAATAAATGTGGAGCCTAGGTTTATATAATATAGTGCTGACATGTATGTTTATAAATGCTTAAAAGACAACTAATACCTCAAAATATCTTTGATAAACCCTAAGTATAATATACATATCTTCTTTCCTTTATCTTTATATGAGGTTTTCATAAGAGCTTCATGTTAAATTTTCAAATGTTTTGAATCATAATAGGTCTATCAACTACTGTGTCGTTTTGTTTGTTTTCAAAACATGTTCTAAGTGCATGTGAAACCTGGATGGAGTCTGTGGACTGTGTCGGTGTCAGTGTCCTAGTCTTGATGTGATGTTACAGTGGTGCCAGATGCACGGGGAGAAACGGGAGGAAGGGTGCCTGGGACCTCTCAGTACTGTTTTTGCAACTTCCTGTGAATCTATAATTATTTCAAAAGAAAAGGCTAAAAGAAATCATTCCAAGAGTGCTCTATACTTTGTCATTTATCAATTTATTTGGCAGAACCTCAGCTCTGTTCTCTAATTTGACTCCACTTCGCAATCCCTGACTGCTCTAATCTGTGCATGTGCGTGTGTGTGTGTGCATGTGTGCGTGTGCGTGTGGAGAGACTGATTTACTTGTTTCTTTGCCTTCTAAAACAATTACTCTTTCCTCAGTCTCACACACTTTGAATCTTGTTCTACAGAGATCAAAAGAAGAGAGAATATTTTAGAGAAAGAGCACAATCCAGTTTAATGTCATGGTACAAAAATTACAGAATCTATTGCAAATCTGTTCTTCAAAAATTGTACCTAGGAAATCAGGTGCTATCATCTGCATGCTTTACCTGTGAACTTCAACTATCTTCATAAATCCTACTTCTTGGCAGCCCTACTCTAAGCAAGGTATGTGACACTACTGGTTCCAACTGGGATCTTAGCAAAGGAATAAAGGTTGAACAGCCCCTTAGCCCCACTGATGCCTGCAGGCCAGGATGGTCTGTGAGCAGTGTGTTCCCTCCTTGGTTAATTTATCAGGGAGGAGCCTCATCATGAAGTGATGACGCAGAACTCTCCAGTATCTTCCACCGCACCCTGCGAGTCCTCACGAATCTCATGGACACTCGCTCTTTTTTCCTCTTATAAATGACATCTTCTTCTTTACATATATGTGAATTTCATGTCATGTCCAAATGTAAAATTATGCAGAAAGCCATTTGATGATTTAATACATATTCATCAGGAGCTAATGATGTAAATAAAAATATTCAAATAGCTCAATGGCTGTAAATTAAACCATTTGTAACAGGTCATTTGATGGATGTAATATTCATTTAATCCATCACTACAGACTAATTACAGACACATAAGAACACCTGGTCAAGATTTACAATGTATAAGAACTTTTTGGAATATAACCCGAAACTGAATTACGTAAAAAAGCATTATACCTGAGCAATGATTTGCTCTCCGTCGCTGTAGACTTTGGTGCCGATCACATCCACCACTTTCAGGCGTTCAGAAACCTACAAAGAAAAAAAGACAATATTAAACAGAAACAGACTAATGGAGTAATCTTGTCTATTTCAGAGGTTAAAAATTGGTAGCCTCTAGGCCAAATAAACTGAGCAGTGTGTGTCTTATATTAATTACCAGCATTGTAAAATAAACAAATTTCTCACAAAAATTCGAATTTCCAGCTTCTCTTAAAAAATCAGGAAACTGAGCAACACACAGGCCCTATTTCCACACGGCAACGACACACTATGGTGGCACAGCAGCTGGTTTTTTACATGGGGCACATGTTCTCCAGTTTACTCAAGTCCCTTCCTGGCTTGGTTCCTTCTTTATGTTACTTGCCTAGCTCAGAAGGCATTTGGATTTACAAGCCCTGATCTATTTTTATTTAAAGAGATATGCTGTTAGAGAAGATGAGCTGCCTAATATGCATCTGTAATGTGGCCAAAGTTTCTACCAGGCATAAACTGACAATCCAACAAAGAGAGATTTCAGCAGATGAGTCAGAACTGACCCCCAGGTTTCCGGCCATGGTGGTAGAAGGAAGGCACTGCCATCCACTAAGGAGGGGAAGAAGGGGTGGAGTAGATTCGAGATGTCTGTTAGACATCCGAGAGGCGATGTTAAATACGCAGGCGGATAAATGAGTCTGGCATTCAAGGGAGGGGCCTGGCCTGGTTATGGCAATTTTCAGACCCATCAGCACAGAGACGGTAGGTGTTTAAGGCTAGGGGACCTGACAAGTTCCCCAAGTGAATATGTGTAGCCTGAAAAAAAGGGAAGGCCAATTTTAAGAGGAAAGGAGAAGAGGAATAAAGAGCAAAGATGAGTGAAAAGGAGAGGCTGGTGAGGACATTTTCTATTTAGATAACCTCTCCTGTAAAGGTCTAACTGGTGTGGCTACCACCTGTATCTACATGATTGTTCTAAGTCTGCTTTTAAAAGACCACATATAAATGTGCTACAGATTCTGGTATAATGACAGGTAGTAAAACAAATACTTAGTTATACAAACGCCACAATTTAATCTTTTCAAATGAAAATATGGATAGATTTTTACACCAAGAAGCTTTTCCATACAACTAAATATTCCTAACAAAACAGACGCTTCTAAAGCAAAGCAAAATGAAAGCATAAACAGAGACTGACCTCCAAAGATTTAAGGAACGGCAGCGACTCAATGAAGCTTTCATACATTTTTCTCTTTTTGGCGTTATTTTTCACAATTATTCTCCTGAAGGTTACTCTGTCCTAAAATCAGGATATCAAATACAAGGACAGTTAAAAGGTAGATTTTTATGGGGGAAAAAAGTCTGAAGAGAGAGTTTCATTTTATTCCCTAAATGGAACAAACAATAATGAAAGATTTAGAAATAAAAGATTAATATTATTATACTTTTAATGCAACTCCTTTCAGATTTTTGTTTCTTCAAGCATAAAACATAAAATCATATAAAATGTTACCTTCACTTTTTTAAAGGAAGCATCAGTTCACTTTAATTCAGAAGGAAATCTGACAAACATATAATTTAGCTATACCCACAGGGTGGCGCTCTTGAACCATTTAAAAAAAATGGATACTGGCGTATAGTTCTTTTTTTTCCCCAGCTTTTTTGAGAGAGAAGTGACCTATAATAGTGTCTAAGTTTAAAGTGTATAACATGTTGATTTGACACACATATTTGCAAAATGATTACCCCAGTAGGGTTATTTAATAGTTGTATCCTGTCACATAATTACTATTTCTTTTTTATGGTGAGAACATTTAAGATCTAGCCTCTTAGCAACTTTTGGTATATATTTAGATCCCCAGAATTTATTCATCTTATAACTGGAAGTTTGTGCCCTTTGACATCGTGCCCTTTCCCCACCCCCAGCCAACCACCACGCCAATCTGTTTCCGTGAGTCTGGGCTAGCACTGAATTCTTCTACTGTGCGTGACAGCCCTAGAGTGTTACGCAATCAACTTGGTGGGACATGACAGCATTTTTATAAGAAATAAAGTAGAACAGAAAATCTCAGAGTATATCCCTTGGAGCAAAGTGTTGTCTTGCTCAATATTTACTTCAGTTACACACAAAGACACACACACACATGCAGTGGTTATGATGTCTCTGTGTGTTTCTTAAAGTGGACTGCAGTAAAAAGTACATGAAAAACACTATTAGAAAATGTTTTTTAGTCATAAAGAAATTATAATGTAAGAGATCTTGAAAAATTATTTACTCTAGCTTCTTTGCCACACCCATATTATGTTAGTTTTCTTTTTTAAAAATGTGAAGGCACAGAGAAATTACAACTTTCTTGAGTAGGGTTTAATTCCAGTGTTTATCATGCTCATAGTTTTAAAATGTTCCTATGTTTATACTACTTAATCTCAAAGATGAGGAACTTAATTAAGAAACCAGGGCAATCTTTAAAGATAGCTCAAAAAATGGTTTTCCTATAAATTTTATTTTCAAAAAATTCCTGCAAAAACTTTTAGTTCTAAATTAAAAGCCCTCAGAATTATGTTAGTTTGGCATACATTGATAAACAATTATATAATTTTAATATAAAATAAAAATAATTTAACACAAAATAAAATTGTTAATAACATTAAGAATTATATAATTTTAATATAAAATAAAAGATGTTATTTAATTAATAAATTACTGTGCCAACATATTAAGGCTGAATTTAAATGAACTGCTACAACTAAGAAAAATGCCAGTGTGGATGCAAGTCTCTAGCAAATTAAACATCCTGTTCTCTAATTTAGTTTACTACAGTTTATAAGGGTGGTAATTTGGACTTGTATTCTTAATTTTTTTTTTAGAAGAGAAAATTTCACAATTAATAAAAATATTGAAATAATTTCCAAGCCTGCCTCTGCATCAGAATCAGCTATAGTGTTAAAAAAAAAAAAAAAAAACCCAAAGGTTTCTGAGATCCCAGACTTTAATAACTCCAAATCTCTGTATGCAGGGCTCAATAATCTCTATTTCATAAAAGCTCCCCAAGTGATCCTGATACATAATCAGATTTGAGAACCAGCTGCAACACCATTTTACGGACAGAGTTTATTGCAAAACAGAGAAAACTAGAAATAGTTTAGTGATTTAGAAATTAACAACGGGGGGGAGAGAAGGAGGGGGAGAGAGAGATACCGGGAGCACAGGACAAAATAAAATAAAATGAGAAGGAAAAAAGAAATTAACTACAATGAGCTATACGTCTCAGGAAGAATTTCCTAGTAATGGCCCAGCTCTTCACACCCACTGTGACATGCAAATCAAGTCCAGAAAGCGCCATTTCCAATGTCTTCATCCTGGTCCTTGCAGTAATCGCCTCTCTGAACCATCAGCACGGCTGTGCAGATGAGTTAATCCTCTGAGGCTCCCAGCGGCCGAGCGGCATTTACAAAGTCAGGCTACACTACAATGGACTCTTCTCTTGGGATTTCCTTATCTTTACACCAGCACATATATGGCAGAGCTCCAATCTGTTGGCCTTGAAAGAAAAATATCTTTTCCAGTCGACTTTCTCTGAAAAGGGGCTAGTTAGGTGAGTTGGTCTTAAAAAGCAGATTTGAAGTATTAACTGATTGTTAATTCTAAGTGTTTTAAAAAGTTTTTTAAAAAGCCATTGACTTATGCACATACCCCAAGGTGATCCTCACAAACTGCCCACTTTATTATAAAGTTTAATAACATGTATAGATTAGTACAGATCTCTGAAAATGCTTAATCCTCCTTGAGAGCTTAAGTATTGAGCACACGGGGAAATGCTGGGACTTGATACCTCAATAAGGTTTCTCCCAGGGCTGAAAACTATCAGTATTCTAAAGGGGCCCGCCTGCAAAATATGTGATCTTGTACCGAGGACGTGCAAGGAGGTGGCTTCCTTCCACGTGACAGTCTGACCCTGGCTGGCAACCCCACTGGGAGGGGTTTGAATTTTCAAATGATAGCTTCCTTAATGGAACAGGTCACAGCAGACCTCAGGTTCCCCTGCCACTCTGAGGACAGGCACACACTTCTACGGCCCAAGTCTGCTCTGGTTTGGAGTTTTTCCTTTGCTGGCTTTGGGTGTTCAAATCTCTGCTAGTCCTTAAAACACTTCAGATGAGGAGGTCTCTTCCACCTGAAGCAATTCCAGTTTTCCTTCTACAACTTAAAAAGTAACTCGTCCCATTTTTAATAAGTAAACAGTCACTGCCTGGCTCTAACAAGAGGTAATGTACAGTATATCTCGTTTCTCTGATGAACAGATATTTTCCCAGCTGAATCCACTTCATCAGATCCCGAGTCAGGACTGAAGAACGTGTAACTTCTGTAACACTGCAGTCCTCGGCAATGAGACTTTGAACATGCTTCGAAGGATCTCAACCTCTCCTGCTTCCACAAAAGGATTTGAGAGAAACAACCTGGAAAACGCATGACAAAACCATAGGCGGCTGTCTTCCACAATTTGACAAGAAAATACAAATATCGTAAACATTCCACTAAATCTGTGCTGAAGGCGTGTTCTGAGCACCCACAGCGCCGGGGTCTCCCGGGAGCTTATGAGAAATGCTGGCTCACGGGCCTCACCCTGGACCCGCTGCCTCGTCACGGTGACCCGCAAGCACGGCAGAGTCTGAGCAGCGTGCCACCTTCAACACTCTTTAGAGGGCCAGCTGTGCCAGTGCCTGCCGCTGCATCCTGGTGTCACCTCCGAGACTTTCAGTCTTGTAGAAAGACCACAGTAAGAAATTTATTTTAAAAGCCCAGGTCCCGCCCCGAGAGATTCTGCTTCAATCTGTCCTAGGCAGGAGGATTTTTCTTGAAACACCCCACGTAATTCCGATGCACGGCCAGGTGACCAGCAGGGGCCTGGAGTGCTTGTTCTCCATGTGGCTGCTTCCACGGCAAAGCTGTTCCCAGTCCCCGTCTGCCACATGAGAGGACCCGTCCGCCGTCCACCGTGGTCGCTCACACCCTTGCGTGCATCCCAATCGCGAGCCAGGCTCGCTCCGATACACATCGCCGGGCCCCTTCTCCAGAGTTTCCGATTGAGCGGGCTCAGATCAGTGAGTGGGGCTCCAGAATCTGCATTTCTAGCAAGTTCTCAGGTAATACAGATGCTGGTGGTCAAGGGGCAACACTTTGGGAACCACAGATGATGATACTCACCTCAGAAAGCTATCTGAGAAAATAACACTGAAGGTGTGTTTGTTTTGTGTGGCTGGCTGTTTTTTTAAGAGGGAGTAACAGAGGAGCACTTTGGATCTGCGTGTCTTTCCCAGGGCCAGGAGGACCTAGGATCCTGACTTGACTGAGGAAAAGAACACAAAGACTGAACCCAGCGCGGTCTCAGTGCCCAACAGTTCAGCATCCAGCAGCGACTTAATAACTTCCCTGACGACCAGGGATCCCAAATCAATCTGCCTGTGAGAACTGAAATACTCTCTATCTACCTGGCTTTTGTCACAGCTCTTTTGACAAATAACATTCAGGTCCAACAAATACTTCACTCACCAAACCCCACAGAGCACCAGGGGACGTGGCAGTGATTGTAGCCGCTCTGGGCGTGTTGTACATTAAGGCCAGTTCGCCGAAGCTCCCACGATTGTCGTAGTTACCGACGCACCTTCCAACACCATCGCATTTTACGTAAATATCAAACGTTCCCCTGTTGCACACATGAAAAACAAGAGACAAAAGAAATTCACGCAAAATCTCATTACAGTAAAACATTATTTCAGACAAGAGGCCTGTGCAATACAATCTCGTTTCTAGCCTCCCTTTCCCCTGTGATGACAATAAGTAATAAAAGGGCATCGATAGGTGCCGGAGACGCCATCTGTGCCTGACAAGCATCTCTAAACTAGGGGACGGACACACACGTGCCTGCTGGGAAAATGAGACTAAACGATAACAACTCAAGATAATAAATGATAAAAACGTAACTAAGATTGTAACCAAACAGCAAACGCACAGACGACCACCTGAAGGAATGTCAATCAAACTGCCACCTGCGGTTACCTCTGAGTGTAAGAAAGGGAAGGATTCCAGGGACAGTCACTGTGTGATTAAAGAGTTTTCTGTTTCTAAAATGAACACACATTACTTTTGTGATCAGAAAAAAATAACCATTTTTTTAAAAGAACACAGCTCTAACAAGTTGGTCAGCCACTACTCTGCAGTACTTACGAGGGTCTCTTACCACCCAAAGGAGGGGCCATGACACTGCGGCCCACAGACTGGCCGCCTGCTTTTGTAGAGAAAGTTTTATCGGAACACGAACACACGGGCTTCTTTCTGCACCCTCTGCAGCTGGTGTGCACCCCAGCAGCAGAGTCGAGCAGTTGCGACCGAGACCACACTCTCCGGCCCTTTACATCAACTGGCCCTTTACTTTAGAGTAACCTCAGTCTAAAGTAAAAAGTGGTAGGAATTCAGACTAAATATCTGATCCTGGTCTTTTCATAGGTTTTCTGTGCTTGTCTTTCAATGGGGGTTTGTTTTTTAGGCAAATAAGACTCAGTCTCGTGTCACTGCACTACGTATCATGCAGATTCTGTATTTACATGGACCACATCCTCCTTGTGGAGGACTGTCTTTCCATATATTGTATTTCATCAGAGAATATGGGGTTAAGGCTTGCTGAAGCACCTGTGAGGGCAGACAGGAGAAATCATTTGGCTTTATTCTGTTGCCTAAATTCTAACAAAGAGAAAAAAGGGAGTTGTTTTAAGATTAGAAAAGGACTATGAATGACAAAGATACAATAGAAACAAAAAATAAGATAATAGACCAAAGATATTAATGACTAAGGAAGAGAATAATTGGTTTTTAATATAACTCATGGATAGAATGGCTGTTTCAAGGATACCTTCTAAGATTTGTTGCATGACTATTTTTCAAGTAGAGATTAATTCCTCTATTTACACTATCTACAATGCTGCACTAAAACTGTTTCCTACATTTCTACTTTGAATAGGACAAAAAATACAACAAACGTGCTGATGAGATGTCAGATGGGCTACCAGTCCAGCTGAAATCCCGTGTGCCGCTCTTTCCTACAGATGTCTCCCCTGATAACGTGAGGCCTCAGAAGCGCAGAGCCACGGGAGAGCCCAGAGGGGGCCAAGAGACCTGGCTGTTAAGTCGGCTCCACACTGATCCTCTGGGTGACCGTACCCCACTCCTGTCCCTTCTGTGTGCCTGAGCGAGAGTCTTCATCTGTCAAGTGGGTGATCAGGATCTGACTGAAAAGGGAATGGTCTATATACAAACGTAAGGCGGTTTTTGTAGCCAAAATAACTACTACGGACGATTAATCCTGTATTGTATTTGGGGTTCTCATACACCCCTACAATTAAATACAGTTAAACAGCTGAGAGAACTTCTGAGCTGTTTCATAACAAAATCATGATTTCAATTCACATATGGATAACTGGTTCTGTTCTAGTCTAAAATCACAGACTCCACCCCCGCCCTGGGCCGTGCCTCGGCAACAGCTCCACGGGGCACCAAGGCATTAGGGAGGACGGAGTGAGGCATCCGTGGAAACCCCTGATTCGGAGAGCATGCACTACTGATGTACGCGAGACACCACCAGCAGGGCCCAGGGCAAGAAAAAAGGCCCAGGCAGACAGACGAGGAGTGATTTTCTGCAGGGCCTCTGAGTTGAACACAACTCTACCCAGAGAGGCAAACGTAATGCGATAAATCCGGCTGGAAGATGATCTGTGTTCCACACGTAACGGGAGGGGCTGGGGGTACCGGCCCTCCCATAAACACTTCACCATCGCTTTACAAAAGGGCAGAAATCAAGACGCAGTGCACACTGCTCCCCTACCACATTTTAGGTCTCCTGTCTAGTTACTGCGTAAAGCGCACTGTGTCTTTTTTTTGGTTTTTTTTTGGGGGGGAAGATTAGCCCTGAGCTAACATCTGCTGCCAATCCTCTACACACTAGGCCTGCTTTCATGGTCTAGTACGGCTTCACTGCAGGGTTACCGCGCCTGTTACACAGTAATAAGAGGAAGCGGCAAGAGCAACTTTCATATATTAATCTGTGAGTTGTCACAATAACCACTGAGATTTTACACAAAAGGTGCATTAAATTTCAGTAGTGAAAATTATGCAAAACGTACCTATCGATTACGTAAAAGTTGTCACCATCGTCACCTTGATCAATGACATGTTCCCCTTCATTGACCAATTTTTCAAACATGGCATCTAAGACTTGAGACATCTGCTCCTATTAAAAAAAAGAGAGAAAAGACAGAATCTTTATGCTTGTCTAGAACGTGTTTCCTTACGTGACCATAATAAGTTCTGTATGTCTATCAACAAGCTCAAAGACATGGAAATATCATTGCCATTAAGTCTCGTCAAAAAAGTCCCCAGGACAGTCTTCCTTACTCCATACAAACGAGGTGATTACATATTTACTCGCATATTCAGTATCTGAATGAAAGTAATTATAATTTACTATATTTCAGAATATTTCCAACCATCACCACTTTAATATGAAAAATTAACCACCAAACTGCCATATACCTCGTGAAATGTAATCTTAGCAACTAAAATGACCAGGTCAGTAAAGAACTATTGCAAATGTCTTTTAAAGATACCTGTTTTGAAAACTTCCCTATATTAGTCATCACTAGAATTTACAGAGATTACCTAAATACTGAGAGAATTCAAATCCTGGCGCCAATCCTTTTTGGTTTAGCACCAAAACCCAAACAGAACAAAACAGAAACACAACAAAAGCAAAACCAAGAACGACTGTGGCAAATATTCCATCACTATTTGTCACTAAGGTTCTCCTCAAGAAGCAACCATTTACCTCCCCAGGGCAGATTTATCAGAACTGAAGCCAGAAACACCCAACCTATTATTCAACAACTACTTAAACTATATAAAATTTTTATTCTGCTAAAGTGTGGCTGACAAGGCTGAAGGATAAACTTCAGCTGAGAATAAACTAGGCGGTGAAAGAAATCTTCTCTCAGAGCAAATACAGGAACGATTCAAAGAACTTGGACAGATGGAACAGATGGATATGGAGAAATAGCACAGCGCGGAGTCACAGAAAAGTCAGAGGACTCAAGAGGGTTATTTGCTTGACCACTTATTACCTCTGAGCACTTGATCAAACCACTCTCTATGGGTGTAAAAAGGGTACAACACTAACCGCCTGGGGCCCAAATCAATGATTATCATAAGTAAATTAAGGAGCTGAAGATAGACTAGAGGGGGGAAAAGATGTAAGTGGAAAACACAGGTTGAAGAAACAAGATATTCTGGATCAAAAGCATGAACAGGCCACACTGATTCTCTTCTTTGTGAGACCCCATTAACATTTCATAGGGAATATGAAGGTATGAATCCACAACCATATAGAGTATGGGAAGGGAAACTGACGGAGGAGAGATTCCTAGAGCAAAAGTAAGTTACATGGGGGCAGGCAGACAGACAGCACAGCCCAGAGTTGGGCAGATGGAGCTGCAGTGTGGGGGGCCAACCGCCTGTCAGAGCACCTCCAGGCTGCAGACTGGGAAACACGGTTGGGTCAGGATGGGATGGAGAGGCTGAAAATGAGTGGACTGATTCAGAGTCCTATACTTCAGCTGATACCCTCCTTCCGAATGACTCCATCCGGATAACAGAACGCCTATCAGGCAAGTATTGACCCAACTCTTCCCACACAAGAGATCAGAGTCAGGTTCTTGGCAGAAACTGAACAAATGAGAGAGAACTTGAACAGTTACTGTGAACACTGGTGTCCTGGAACAAGGGCCTTCACTTGTTTGGATTTAGGGGTTCCCCCGCATCACAGCTGCTCCCTGGCACTCAACCTAAAGAGTACATTGGTTGACAGACCTGCCCTCCTTATCCGCCGCTCTAAGTCAGCTTTGTGTGGCCTCTCCGGTAGCCTACAAGACTAAGATACACCGCAAAATAGCACAGATGAGATACAGAATTCAGGGGCAGTAGAGAGCTCTTAGAAGGCTCTACTTTGTACACCCAGGGATATTCAAGATGCATGACACAAAAAATAGGACATTTAGGAAAAGAGCAAATCAGAGAAAAATGAGTAAGCTGGAAATTAAAAATATGACTACCCGGTTTTTTCCTGGCTTCTAAATATTTTATCTTTTAGAGCAGTTTTAGATTCACAGCAAAATGGAGCAAAAAGTATAGAGAGTTCTCATGTAGCCCCCTGCCCTTCCCATCCACCCTGGCAGCTCTCCCCGACTATCAACGACCCCAGCAGAGGGCACATTTGCTACAGCTGATGACCCTACACTGACACACCACAGTCACTCAAATTCCACAGGTCACATTAGGGTTCGCTCTTGGTGCTGTACACTCTATGGGTTCTGATAAATGTATAATGACATGCACCCACCATTACAAAGTTTCTTAAAAAGTAAAGGGGCAGGAAGATAAATTAAAAGCAAAAACCTCAAAGAAAGCCAAGAAAGAGATGAAAAGATAGGAGTTACAGAGAAAGTGGTAAGAGAGAAAACAAAAGGGAAAAACTAATCAAAGAAATACGGGATGAATTTTCTAGAACCAAAGTACATAAGTTCTCAGACTGAAAGAGTCCAGCACATTCGATGACCAAACGACAGTAACATGACAATGTGGTTTTAGAACACCAAAGATAAAGAAGAAATCTGCAAAGCTTCCAGAAAAGGGGTGGGGATGTTCAACTTCTCTCAAAATAAAGAGATACGCAAATTAAAATGGAAATGATATACCATTTTTGACCTGTCCAAATCAACATGATAAAAATGTCAGACCAAGCCACCACGTTGGAGATGGTGTGGCAAAGAGCATTCTCACAGACGGCTGACGGGAAGGTGAGACGGAGCAAAACTCTCCAGAGGGCAAGCTCTCAATATCTAGTAAAATTTCAAACATGCAAACCCTCCACCCACTGTTTCTTTTCTAGGAAGTTATCCCACAGATATTTATGAAATGACACGTGCCCTGGCATTTTTCCTTGCAGCATCATAAGAGCAAAAGATTGGAAGTAGACTAATGTTTATCCACAGGGCACTGCATAAATGAGTTCGGTCTACCCACACATGAGAAAGCTATGCAGCTCTAAAAAAAGAATGTGGGGACTTCAAGACATTTATCTTCCAATGGAGTCACTGACGAGCAAGAGAACACTCAAAGAAGGTAGCGAGGATGGGTGAAAAGCAGCCACAGGGGGAACAGTTCAGGAAAGTGGGGGCATTTGGGTGACGATGCAGTGATTCTAGAGGCCAGAACTGGGGCAGCTGGGGGGAAGTTTCATGGAGATTTTGGCAGAACGTAAAGACGTAAGAGTGAGAGCTGTCACTCAAGGGAGGTGTTCCAGGCTTTCCATCTTCCACACGCTGTCAGAAGAGCTCAGTGCTTCTCAGGTGTGTTTTTTGGAGCCCAGGATTTTGTGGAGACGCTTCAGTGACTGATTCTGTACACAGGTGATTTAACTGCATCCTTAAAGTGTATTTTAGCCTTTAAATATTAAAACTAATAGAAATCAAAATGCTCAGGTGGATTATACAAATTTTTTTATGAGGTGAAAATTCACATAACATAAAATTAATCATTTTAAAGTTAGAACAATTCAGTGGCCACCAAGTTGCACAACCACCACCTCCATCGAGTTCCAAAATGTTTTCATCACTTTCCAAAAGGAAACCCTGTGCGCACTAAGCAGTCACTTGCCATTCTCCCCTCCCGCCAGCTCCTGGCAGCCACCAATCTGTGTTCTGTCTCTGTGGGTTTACAAATTCTGCATATTTCATATAATGGAATCATACAATATGTGCTCTTTTGGGTCTGGCTTATGTCACTCAGCATAATGTTTTCAAGGCTCATCCCTGTGACGGCATATATCGTACTCCTTTTCCATTATGGATGAATAATAATCCATTGTTTGGATATACCACAGTTTGTGGATCCATTCTTCCATCGATGGACATTTGGGTTGTTTCCACCTTGTGGCTATTGTGAATAGTGGGGCTATGAACATTCACACACAAGTATTTATTTGAAAACCTCTTTTCAATTCTTTTGGGTCTATACCTGGGAATGGAATGCTAGGTCATACAGTATTTCTCTGTCTAACTTTTTGAGGGACTGCTGAACTGTTTTCCACAGTGCCTGAACCATTTTACTTTCCCACCAGCAACGTACTAGGCTTCTGATTTCTCCACATCCTCACCAACACTTATTTATTTATTTTTATTATACTCATCCTAGTGGGAGTTAAGTGGTATTTCACTGTGGTTTGATTTGCATTTCCCTAATGATTAATCACGTTGAGAATCTTTTCATGTGCTCGTTGGTCATGTGTATATCTTTTTCGGAGAAATGTCTACTTGCTCGTTTTTAAATTAGGTTGCCTCTCTGTTGCTGAGTTGTAAGGCTTCTTTATATATTCTGGATACTAGAACCTTATCATATATATGATTTGCAAATATTTTCCCCCATTCTGTAGGCCGTCTTTTTACTTTCCTTGATAATGTCCTTTGATGCACAAAATTTTTTATGAAGTCCAATGTATCTCTTTTTTTTCTTGCTCCCATTTTTGGCATCTGTCTAAGAATCTATTGCTAAATCTGAGGACAGGAAGACTTACCTCGGCATTTTCTTCTAAGAGTTTTATAGTTTAGCTCTCACATTTAGGTCTTTGTTCCAGTCTCGGTTAATTTTTGTATATAGTGTGAAGGAGGAGTCCAGCTTTGTTCTTTTGTGTGTGGATGTCCAGCTATCCTAGCACCATTTGCTGAAGGGACT